GGTGGGAGGTGTCCCTGCCCAGGGCAGGGGTTGGGACTGGATCATCTCTAAGCTCCATTCTAACTCCTTAACATATCATGATTCTATCCATATCCTAAGGTGAGCTGGAGAGCACACTAGGACTTTTCCTTCTTGTTAGGATAAACTGGGAAAGCTGAGCTGAAAATATATGTTTTTCAGTAAAAGGACCTGTTCTGATATGTGTGTGTTCTTCTGTGGTTGCAGAACCTGTAGTTCTTCCAGCAGTTATGCCAGGAGATTCCTTTGCTATTCCATTGCACCTCACATCTTGGCGATTGCAAGCCAGGCCTAAAGGAATGGGAGTGTTTTTCTGCAAGGCTCCAATTCACTGGACTAATGTTCAGAAGACAGCAGAGGTGTGTAGCAGCAAGAGGGAGTGTCACTCCATGGAGTCTGAAAACAGCAGATTTTTCAGGTAATTATTTGTAAGGTCTCTTACCTTCTGATAAATGATTCCTGTGAAAGTAAATAACAGGAAGGAAAACAATCAGGGATGAAGCTGTTCCAGTTTAATGGGATGTTTTGTTTGGTCTGTTGAATGATAAGGAAGCAGTGAAGCACAACTGGTGTGTTTCTGCAGGACTCCTTGAAGCCCCTGTGACAGTGCCTGGCAGCAAATCTCTGAGAGGACAAAGCACAGTATTAATAGTCATTGTAAAAGAGAAAGTAGAATGTGAACTTATGATAAATAACAACTCTGTCTCGGTGAGGATTATGAGTGGTTTGCCAGAGGAGTGTTCACAAATGCTCTTTGTTTGTCCTCCATGTCCTGTGCTCTGTTCTAAGCCCAAAAATATCACTGCATGGTGAGGACTTAATGGAACTTTGTAGTTACCTGGTCTGATGGATTTAGGGATGCTCTCAGTTTAGGAAATACTAGGAATTTGTGTCAGAAATGACCTTTGCATACTCTACAGTTACTGCTGTGTGTCAGTTCCATAGTTCATTTCTCAATGTGCTGCTTTTGAATGCATCACAGGGAGGGAAATGAACAAATTATTTGAAATTAAGGTGTACTTACTCAGTTTTTTACCTTAACTAGTGACAAACTGAAGTATCATGTGGGCAAAGCAATGATATATATACTGGGAAGAAGGACACAGTCAGCATTTCTGTTTAAGAACATGATTATAGTTTATTTTAAGCATTTAAATCTTTTTAGTAATAGCTGAGAACACGTTTTTGCAAGTTTGTGGGTGTTGGTTTTAAAGCAGGTAATCCGTAAAAGCCATTTTTGTTAGGTCTCTGTACAGAGCAGGTTCTTTTGAGTGACTAAATTACATCTTTGATTAAGATCAGGAAACTCCTGTTGTCTTACTGTTAGTCATGAAGTTAGAACATGTAGGATTTAGTGCAGTACAGGAAGATAAGGTTCAGTTGTTCTGTCGAGTTCATTGACTTCTCACATGTGTCTGCATTCCCAGGTTCTGTGTGGCCATAAAGAAAGAGAACTACCCTGATTACATGCCTTCCAGCATATTCTCGGACAGTGCCAAGCAGATTTTCAGACAGCCTGGGCATACTATTTACCTCTTGCCAACAGTGGTAATCTGCAACCTGCTCCCTTGTGAGCTTGAGTTCTATGTGAAGGGTTTGCCCATCAGTGGGACACTGAAGCCTGGCAAAGAGGCAGCTCTGCACACAGCTGATACATCTCAGAACATTGAGCTGGGTAAGGTTCTTGGTCAGGTACCACTTTTGGATCCTCAGTGCACCCCAGTACCACGAGGGAACTTGTTTCTACAAGGAACTATGGTGCAGACTGGAAGAATTAAGAAATTAAAAGCATTTATATGATGATTTTGGTGGGTTGCAGGGTTGCTTGCCTCTAATAACCAAGTGCACATGTCCAAAAAAGTACTAGTATTGCCATCATGGTTAGGTCATAGATTGGACTTGATAATCTCAGAGGTCTTTTCCAGTCTAATTAAGATTCTGTGCTCATTCCCCCAAATCTCTCAGCTGTCTTAGCCTGTTCTTTATTTGTATCTTTTATTGTTTTCCTAAGAGTGGAAACAGTGAGAACTGGGGAGAACACTGGTAAAGAAGGAATAGATAAGCTCCCAATGTTTTGGGTGGTTTTACTATTTTCCTTCTGATAGAAGAAGTTGGTGTTGAAAGTATGTATGGAATTACTCATCACTGGGTGGCCCTGTGGTGCCTAAAGCAGTAATTAGCCCTAAACTGAGTTCTTTACAGAACTTCCTTGGCTGTTTATGTCTTAAATTGAGGCATTTCTTCATGAGATCAGAGGTTACTAACCGGGCAGATTTAAAAGTTGAACTTAAATTGAGGCATTTCTTCATGAGGTCAGAGTTTACTAACCGGGCAGATTTAAAAGTTGACCTGGGTGAGCTCTCAGATCAAGTCACATGAAACACCAACCACAATGCTTGTCAGAAACTACTGTTTCTTGAGTGGGGGATGTTTGGTTTTACTTGGTTTGGTTTTGGTTTTGTAGGGGTGTTGCTAGAAAACTTCCCAGTGTGCAAAGAGCTGTTGATTCCCCCTGGGACACAGAACTACATGGTGCGGATGCGACTGTATGATGTCAACAAACGACTGCTAAACCTGACCATCAGGATCGTGTGTCGTGCTGAAGGCTCTCTGAAAATACTCATCTCTGCTCCATATTGGTTAATCAACAAAACAGGTAACTTTGCTTATAGTCCTGAACCAGGAAATAAAGATTTCCTGCACTCCTTAAGAGGAATTAAGTTGAAGGAATGTGCTGTTTTAATATTGCCAGCAGTTAGTGTTTGGTGAATGTTCCAGCACAGAACTTAGACATTTGAGTTGCTGTGTTACGTATTTCCAAATGTGAGCTATTGTACCTCTAAAATAAGTCAGCATAGAGAAGATCACTGTTAAAATTGGTGGGTTTCAGAGACTGAAATGCTTTGAGAAGCAACAGGTCTGTGCTGCAGTTAGTCTGTGTTGACATCCAGTGGCACTTCCAGGTCTGCGTGGCCCACACTCTGTGGCTCACAGCTGGTGATAGTTGTAGCTGTTGAGCAGGTTAGATGAAGAATGAGAGGGACAACACATGCAGACTAATGGTTAATACTACAACCCAAACATTTCAGGTTGTTCCTCAATTGGAAGTAGTTTTTATTTTTACCATTCTCACTTTAATTTGTGCAAAGGTGAAGTATAGGCTTAACACTCCATTATTTTGTTTTTAAGGTTTACCATTGATCTTCAGGCAAGATAATGCAAAAACAGATGCTGCTGGTCAGTTTGAAGAGCATGAGCTTGCTAGGAGCCTCAGCCCACTGCTATTCTGTTATGCTGATAAAGAACAGCCAAACTTGTAAGTAAGGAGAGCAATCAGAAGAAACTTTACAAAGATGAAAGGAATTCACAGATTGAGTGCTGATATATTGATAAGAGTATCATGGAGGAAAAGTCTTTCCCCATTGAGATGACCTGTTAAGTTTTTAAGTGCTTTAATAGTATATTGGATCTTTAGACATTTCCTG